TGTACAACTACCGTTCACATTATATACATTCATGTAGATTTATTTACTTGATTGGTGAACCGACTGTGATGCATTCTTTTTTCAGGATTCTTTGAAAGTTCAAAATAACAGTATTTATTTAAAATCTTAATGTTAGTCTTTAATGTCACCTTTAATCAATTTAATGCATCTTTGCTGAATAAACGTTTTAATTTACATCTACTGACCCCAAACTTTGGAATAATAGGGTATACTGTACATAAAAATAAATATAACACAAAATTAATAAGAAATATTTAGAATTTATGCCAGGTTCAGACTACACGATGGGTGCTTTTCAATACTCAAATTGATGCCCTCCTCCTTTCCTCATTCCTCTGTGCTCCAGCCTGTGACCTGGAAACCGATCAAAGAAAGCCATCTTAAAGGACATCTCAATTCTCTAATTGAACCGCGATGTTTGAGGAAGCTTCCAGAGAGTGAGGATGCACAGGTGTATCATATGCCCAAGTCTTTCTAGTCGAGAAACCTGATGCACATATAAATTCTCCTCCCCCTTTTCATCTGTCACAATGATTCTAATTTATTCTTTACCTTTTGCAGTTGAAATAAACCATAAACCTTACATATTTCAACAGGGCATCCAGCATTATTACTTTTTTAATGAATTTATAATGACCAAACTTCAACAACAAGGGGAGTTCCCTTGAGCGCAGCTGTACAGTAACGCTTGAGTGATCAAGAATAGTCAATAATATTACTTTCGATTTCTCTATCCTCATTTTCTTTCCTTGCATCCTGGAGATGAGACATGAGAAATGAGAAGCACTCGATCGATATCAGTCAGATTTTGGCATGATCCATTTGACGGGTGTTATGGTGATTTGTAAATTACAATAGGCATAATGCGGTACGTTTATGTAGTGAACATCTATGACACTTTTTACGACGTCCCAACGTCGATTTGAGGGCTCCACCTTCTCTCTAATCGTGGTACATGATGTCATCTGCACAGCGCTGTTTCAAATCAACCACATGTTTAATCTTTTTCCGTCCTCCACGATGGTTTCCATCACATCTGTAACGCTGACCAATAAGAGCACAGAAGCGCTTCCGTTCACAGCTTTTAAACATTGTGAAACGAATGACAAGATGGTATTTGGTGCTTCCAGGTGGAATTATGCAGTAGAGGAGAGGTTCATGGAGCTTTGGTAACAATACTACTTTCCTCGAGGGACTACCCCGACAGAGTGAAAAAAGACCAATGATGGTAAACGATAGCGGAGGTGCTTCAGCAACCTGGTGAGTACTGAAGCTTCGGTAGCCATTGTTTATTTACGCTCTTGTTTCTAGAAGTTAGTTGCTAGTTCCGCCTTCTTGATGACATCACACACGTCATTAAGGATGGTAAGCAATGATTGGTTGGGAAGCAATGTGTAGTCTGACATGTTTCTTGCAAGACAAGAATTTAGGAGTCAAAATCGCATAATCTGATACTGGCCCTGTTTACACCTCATATTAAGATGTGTTTTGGTCGGTTGGATCACAAGTAGACGAGGGTAACCAGACAGTTTCTGGTCTCATTGACTTCCATAGTAGGAAAAAAATATACTATGGAAGTCAATGAGACCAGAATCTGTCTGGTTACCGATATTCTTCTAAATATAAAAAAATCGGCTGAATGGATTTGAAAACGGTAAAACCCATCTGTTTAACTCTGGGAGAGTGGTAAAATGAGCCTATTTCCAAAAAAAGTGGAGTATCCCTTTAAGTGATTATCATAACAGACAAAAGCATTGTGTAGTCTGAACCCAGCATAAGACATTCTAAGTTTTTCAATTCACCTTTTTGCCCACATATTGTTATGCTGATAATATAATTTGCAATTAAATATTTTGATTCGAAAAATGCTAAAAAAAATAAAATAAAAAAATACAGCGGTATCAGACTTTTGGACCCACTGTATTTGCTAATGATGCATGAACTGCAGAGAAGGTGGCTGCTAAGATGAGGTCTATGTAATATTTTCAGGTTAGTTTGAAATGCAAAAAAAAACTATTTTACTCAAATGATGAGAATAAGGAGTCGGAGAGGGGGAGAGAGGGGGAGAGAGAGAGAGAGAGAGAGAGTGTGTGAGAGAGAGAATGTGAGGTGTTGATATTGGATTCCATTACAGCTGTCAATTTCACACACACAAACGCAGAGCATCTTGGGCTCTGCATACTCGGGAGGGTGGGGGGGGGGTGAGATGTCTTGCATCCTGGAGACCGGCACAAATTTAATACCGGGCTGAGCATTGCTACAGTCCCAGAGATCCCACAATAATGCAACTGCTATTCCCAGTCCATGGTTCCAAAATAAATGCGTTTATCACAGTTCAGCCTCACACGGCGGCGAGAAGTGCAGAAAAAAGCGATGACAACAGCTGCCACAGCTCACAAACACAGCGACAGGAAGGCCGCAAACACAAAAGGCAGACAGAAAGAGGCACAACAGAAAAACAACAGGCAGACTAACTGGAGTGAGAAGAGCCAAAAAAGCAATATCCGTACATTTACTTACACGTACCTCTCTGCCATGAAACCAAGACAACCAAACTAAACAAACTGAGCTCGGGTCATTCACAATACCGAATCGTTCCCTGTTTTTTCCTTTGTGCTCTGTTTTTCATTATATGTAGGGCATCAATGTGTATCATTAAATATGCATGAATATATATAATTCTTAATTATAAATCAAATATCTTGTGATTTTATACATTGTGTGTTTTTCGTCTCTCTGGAGTCCACTCTTTTTCTTGCATCCTTGAAATGTATTTTTGTCTTATTGGATCCACTCATCACAATACATATTCATGATGAAAATATCTAAGACTGACACTTTGCAATCAACAGAGAGCCTATAATCTTCCCGCTTTATGAGACTGTGGACTGACGAGACTCAGAGACACCTTAGCAAACCCCTTCCTTAGTTCACGGTACAGGCTACTAAATAAATTTACCATATGCTCCTTTCTCGTTCGCAAATTTGTGTTAGGTAATGCTATTCTTGCATTTTTGATGGATGAAATGTCTTTTTCACACATCCTTTTTACATGTAATTTGCACCTACATTACAAAACACACCAAAAAATAAATAAAAATGAACTAGGGGTCTCTGAATCAGAAAGGGTGCAAAATGTCAGTGTTAATAGTCATATTAATCGCTGACCTCATAGTTGGAGAAAAAATGTCGCTGAATTAATTAAATAACTTCACAGTTCATTAAAAGAAAACAAGGGAATTTTGAAGTAATGTGACAACTCCAACTTAGTAAAACATTAAAGATTTCCACATCTATCAAGGTTAAATATGCTACTTCTTTTAAACAAATCTGTTGTTTTGATGCTTTAAATAATCACTGTTAATTAAAGATCCAACCTAGCCTAAACACCATGATTGTTAATGAATACGAAGATCGTATCATTAATCTGGGACTACAGCAAGTCACGTGTAAGGAGATCAGGTATCAGTTTCTTAAAGGAATCTCAAACAAAGCAGCTTACGTTTCCGCTGTTCTCATCTGAAACATCACTGATCCCTTAATGAAATGAAATAAGCTCTTAAAATCCTCCCCAGCCCACAAATTCTGTCTGTTTATCAAATGACCAGAGGTACTAACCACAGATGTAATACCTGATAAGAAGCCAAATCAGGATCTCAGTTCGAAGTCAAAATTATAAGAACCCTTGACTAGGTATGATAAGAGGCTAAACTCAGGTTTTCGATACTTTTCTTATTTCTTTATTAAACCATATCACCTTTTTCCCTTCTGTGGAACCCAAAAGATGATTTAAAAGAATATTCTGGCCACTTTTTAAGTAATGCCAAAAAACAAACAAACAAAACAACCACCACAAAGTATGTAAAAGTTCATAAAGCATCATATGTTGACCACACAACTCGTGTACCATATTTTAATGCTTTCCTTGGAACATTAATATCTTTTGAATCAGATCTTTTCAGTGAATTAGTTGATCTGGTTCACAAAAAAAGGCCTGATGATGCATGTACTCTATGAATCGATTTGGTTGCAAAAATGAACTCTGATTAGTGGAAAATGATCTGTGAATATTAACTTAGATTTCTATCTATCCATGACACGAAGTCATATGGATTTTACATCCTTTTTGAAGCTTGAAAGCTCTGGTCTGCATTTATAGTAGTGTTACTGCACAGAAAAGTGCAAGCAGTGCAATATTTATAAGGGCAAGAAAGCTAAAGAGAATTAGAAGTTATTCACACAGAAAGCGCTTTGGGTTTAAAAACACGAGAAAAAGTTGAAAACGTCATTTTAAGAATACCATTTTTAGACTGCCATGTCAAGTGTGAGAAGCTGCAAAAGACAGGACACGAGTGCAAAGAGTCCTAAACACATTGATCTATAGCAAATTTGCATAGAAAAACAATGAAAAAGCAAAAAAAGTGTCTGTGTAAACAGCCCATTAGGATAGTATTAACATACATATAATGTATGATTAAAATGTATTGACGTTCAATACAAAATACAGCAATTTACAGATAAACAAGCAAATCCCTGCAAAACAAAGTCATTCCAAAGACACTAAAAGTGTTGAGCCATGCTTCATCCTTCTGGGTTCACATCTTCCTCACTGTAAAGGCCTCTCCCCAAGGTTCCATCCACCAGAGACACAATAATCAGTCAGCGTGGGAAACGTCGCCTCCATGCTAATTAAAACCGCTGTATTTTTAGAAGTGCAGCAAACACAAGTCACGACAAAGGCACCCAATGCCATCTGCATCGTACGCATGCTTTCATCCTCTCTCCTCCAGTTTGACTGAGATGGGATATTGTTTATAAGGTGATGGATTTGTGGAGAAGATGCTACATGAGTCATTAGCTCCATATTTCACTGAGCCTAAGCATTCTTCCATACTGAGCTTGAAATATATGCACTCAAATGTTGTAAATCTTCATTGTGATTTCTCTCATAGTGTGTTAATGTGAGTTTGATTCCTAACCTTTGATCTCCTTCTCATTTCTGAACCATCGGACATCAGCCGCAGGTTTGCTGCCAGAGGTCACACAGGTCAGAGTGATGTGATCGCCCTCTTTTGCAGGCTTGGTGAGTCCATTAATCTCTGGTTTCTTAGGCACACCTAAACATGGAGGGAATAAAGTGACAGAGAAAGAGAAAAAGAGAGAGATAGCTCAGCACTTTAACACAGTTCAAAATATTAACAGTAGGTAAGTGTGAATTTAATGGAAAAAAGATTAGAGATGTTATTTATCATCTATGAACTAATCCAGTCCTTTTATTTTGCCTGGGGTTTTTTTGTCGTTCACTGAGGTTAATTTAAATTTAGACCCTTTTTTCAGTGGTTATTTGATCATATTATTGCAGAGTTTAACGTTTCCCTTGCCAATGACGAAATTTTCTATCATTTATGAGACCACCATTTCCCGCCATAGAACTTATTCACAGCATCGCCATCTTTGATTTTTAATGGGAATGAAAGGCTGTGAGGGATAGAAATCATCTCTTCAGTGGGTTGTACTGTTATTTAATGTGTTTTAGATTATTCTGCTGATGAAACACTGCAAAAATATATTTCGGGAGAAATTTTTGTAGACAAAAAAGCTACAGGCAACATGATCTGTGGAATATTCCATTGAAAATACAGCCCCGCTTTCAGTCATTTCATTTTAGCCTTGATGGCGCTGCTCTAAATAAGGTCTATTGACGTAATTTTCTTGCTTTCTGTGTTTTTACTGTTACATGGCAAGTGGCGCTATTTATATATTTTAAAATGTTAATTTATTAAAATTAATAAAATTTAAAATTTATTCCTGTGATGCAAAGCTGAATTTTCAGGGTCATTACTCCAGTCTTGAGTGTCACATGATCCTTCAGAAAGTCTAATATGCTGATTTGGTGCTCAAGAAACATTTCTTATTATTAACAACAATGTTGAAAGCAGTTGTTATGCTTAATATTTTTGTCAAAACCATTCCACATGCTTTTTAGGATTCTTTGATCAATTATAAAGTCCAAAAGAACAGCATTTATTAATATATATTTTTTTTTTTTTGCAAATGAAAAGTCTTTACTTTCACTGTTTAAACAATCTAAATGTACCTTTGGTAAATAAAAGTATTAATTTATGTAAAAAAACAATCAATTTGAAGTATACTGTCCGTCATTGGCATGCATATCAACAGCATTCATTTAGCAATTAAGACGGCAATCTGTTAGTAGACATAAGGCTTTCACACAGTATGTGTGTTGTTGTACTCCCCCTCTAGTATTATTTAATTTATTTAATTATGTACACATAAAAGCCCAGCTTATACAAAAGTTTTATCTGACATGTTTCAAAGCAATGCTCAGAACATATCCTAACACCATCACATGAAAGAGAAGAGTGAACCTCAAACGTTTGTTTCCACGTACAAAAGCAATCAGCATTTCAATCTTACGAAATTTAAAGCGCACAGGAAATACTGTGGCCCACAAATACATTACTGTGTCAGGAGCTTCCTCTCTAAGGTTGTGGGCAGAGACAAAGAAAAATCAATAGGGAACATTAGTCAGGAAAATTAGATATTGGTTTCGCCTTGATTGAAGATGAGATCAGACGTTTGGCATTCAGTTCACAGGCTTTATTGCTCCCCTGAGTAAGAGGCCTTAATCACATTCCTAAGAAATAAATCAAAGCAAAAACAACCACAATGTACTATGCATTAAAAAGCAACAGGGTAAATACATCAGTCATCCTAGCGTGACCTGTAACCTCCGCCGAGCGCCATGTTGTTTTTCAATATTGTCCCAAGATGACAACTGGAAGATCCCAAGCTGTCGTTTCTAACGGATTCATTTCTTGGTATTTAATATGTTTTAGACAAAACAACTTAGGGTCAAATTCACTTTTTCCACTTTGCCGTGTCATATTTCAGTGTTTGCACACGTTTTTAATTGATCATGGAAGCTGAAATTCATCAAACGTTGGGATTAATCTGTGTTTAGTCTATACAGTAAAATATGTTGGGAATGCGCTAGTTTCTGTAATAGAGTGCTGCAGGGATGATATACTTTTTTAGGCTAAAACCCAGAAACAAGTTAGCATTTTAGCACTTCCAGTTCTATTGTCCCGAAGTCAATAGGTTTTTTGAATGGGTTTTTGGTTAAATGCCTGAAATAAGGTCTGTGCTTAACACAAGCTCAAGATATTGCATATTTTACTCTACGACATTAAACTCAAGAGACTATCACTGTTGTATTTTAAGTTTAAAGCTTCTACTTATTAACAAGTGCCTAAATGGGACTACAGTGGGAGCCTGGGAAATTAAACGTCATACACCGAAAAGGTAAGTCCTTCTAATTCTAACTCAAACTTTCAGGATTATGTTTAATATAAAGAATGAAATAGTTGTCAAAAGCTTTGTCATGTGAAAAGTCATGTGACCATAGTGTAGTTCAATTATAGCCAACATTTAACTTTTTACGCCTGCCTTGTCACGATGAACAAAAAGTGTAACAAACATATATTGTTTTAGGTCACAGAGCTTATATTCTGCAATAATCCAAAAGCCAATGTCGATAGAACCAAGGTGACGCTACTTGCCGACGCGATTAGCCAACAAAAATCGTTACAGCAGCTCGATTAACAAAGCATGTTCATTCTGGATAGGAACTTGTGTCGTACTTGTGAAAATCACAACCCGCAATATCCATTATAAATGTGACGAACATAACATCCAAAACAACAATGTTATTAAATATAACAACCATTTAACAAAATGTTTAAATAATAAATAAGCATCGTGTATATTGTTGCATATTTTTCCTAGATATCAATTACAACACAGAAATTAATTGCATCCATTCATGTATTCACAATGAGCAAAAGATTAAGTAATAGAGGCTTGTTGACAGTGTACAACTGTAATGATTTTAATGTTGTACGCCAACTAATTAAAATGAGACAAGCTAATTGGGCTTCTAATTAATGCAGAAATCTGGCATTAAGCACTGTTTGTGGACTGTCACAGCTGACATTAACTCTGGTTTGTTTGGGACTTGATTCAAAGTCTGGTTGACTTTTGATTGACAAAAGTAGTAAAAGTTGATAGAGGAAACTAATTAAACTTCTTTCTGTGTCATTTCTCAACACTGTTCTGTGATCATCTGTGTCTTTGTTGAAGGCGACCGGGTGAATCCATTTAATTAAATCCTGATCCAGGCCAAAGTTAGATTTGAAACGCCCCCACTGAGGTAAAATTCTAATTATCTACTTTCTGGAAACTACAAATTTTGCAATTTTCTTTCGACTTGTTAATAAGAGTAGCCTTTAAACGAATCTAATCCATTTTAAAATGGTTGCAGACTTTTAGTAACGAAACAGCAATATTTCTGTCCTCCAAAAAAGGCATCCATGCACAATTGCACATACATAATGTTAAAACATTTGGAGGAATTTTCAGCATCTAGTCTTCAGTGTAGGAAAAACATCCACATTTTAAACTAATTCATATGCGTTCACGAGAGAGTTGAGTTCCGGAGGAAGGGTGACCTGACTCGACGTACGACATAAGACGAACCATTGCTTCACATCAGAAGGCATTTATTAACCCACTGGAGTTGTATGGATTACTTTTATGATGCATAGATGCACTTTTCATGGACTTTTAGGTTGAATTCATCAGTTCTGAGTTTTCTTAAGTTTATCAAATGCACACTTTTTGTGCAAAAAACAAACAAACAAAAATAACGACTTTATTTCAACTACTCATTTCCTTCTCTCTGGGCGATCTGTTGTTGTACGTCACACGCATCACACACATGACCAGCGTCGGCCAATAGTGAGCCTCTGTGTGACGTTTAACTGACTAGTGGCCCAAAGAGAAGGAAATTAATAATTGAAATAAAGTCATTACTTAGGTTTGCTTTTGCGCACAAAAAGTATTCTCGTCGCTTGATAAACTTAAGATTGAGCCACTGTAGTCACTTGGACTATTTTAACGATGTCTTTAATAACTTTTCGAGGCCGTCAAGTTTCAATCCCCCAAGAAGCCTATGGACTAGATATTTAGATTTCATCAAGGTCTTACGGGGTTGGAACAACATGAGGGTGAACTATCCCTTTAGTTTGGGTGAAGTATCCCTTTAATCGTCCACAGTTAAATTTCGTCATATCGCACACCACTATGGACAATGAATGTTTACTTTTTTAGGTATTTTATTATCTAAAATCCATATCTTTATTCATAAATATGTCCTCAATGGTGTACAAAATACCTATGCCAAGGTATTAGTTATACCTGACTTATAGTAAACAAATAATTCATTATTTTTATATACATGGGACTGGTAGGTCCACGGAGGCTTCCATGTTCCGCCATATTGAAAAACTGTAATAGCAGACAGGGACACAAAGTACTACGCCAAAGCGTTTCCACAGCGCGTTTCCGCTCAGAGTCAGCGTCATGTAAAACGGAGAGCAGAGCAGTGAGAGGCGCTTGTCACTGCCCCGGCAAGTTTCACAGTCAGTAATTCATACTGTAACATTCATTTTTTCGTTGTGTCAAGGTGCAGTTTGTTTGAAATAACAAACCTGTTCACCTGAAGGAACACTCGACGAAGTGTTATTAGAAAACATCCTGTCATAGCTTTTTGGTACATAATACAATTTCACCGCTAGGTGGGAGAAATTCCCACACATTGTCCCTTTAAGTTTCTGTGTTTTCAGTTCAATTTGTCCGGTCTCGTCTGTGTTGTGCTGAAGCTACCCTATGTTTGAGCTACCTGTGTGTTGAATGAAAGACTTTTGAAATCTTCATTTTTGTGCAATTATATACAGCACGTGACACTGGGAAGAGCCAGGATTTTATTTAAAGGGTTAGTTCACCCAAAAATGAAAATTCTGTCAGTATTTACTCACCCTCATGTTGTTCCAAACCTCTTTGTGTTTATTTGTTCTGCTGAACACAAAGGAAGATATTTGGAAGAATGTTTTAATCAAACAGATTTCATTCCCCATTGACTACCATAGTATGTATTTTTTTCCTACTATGGTAGTCAATGGGGAATGAGATCTGTTAATTAAAACATTCTGCCAAATATATTCCTTTGTGTATAGTAGAATAAATAAACACATAGAGGTTTGGAACAACATGAGGGTGAGTAAATACTGACAGAATTTTCACTTTTGGGTGAACTAACCCTTTAATATAACTCAACTGGCTGGATTAAGATGTAATCCCTCATGGTACAGTATATGTAAAATGACGTCTTACCCAGGACGGTGAGGAAAGCCTTGGCTGTTTTGACAGGCATAGTGAAGAGGGAGCACGTGTAAAGCCCTTCGTCTCCCAGCGTGACCTCGCTGATGCTGATCGTCAACTCCTGCGCCGTGGCTCGGACCAGCTCAATCCGGTTATCTCTCAGCGCTGCGGAAACAAACAATCAAGAGAGAACCATTAATTATGACACCTTCAATAGCATTTGCCACACTTAAGAGCGGCACATTTTCTGACATTCCCTCCATTCCTGAAGATTTAAATGCATACTGACCAAAAAAGGGAAAAAAAAAATTGCAATTTCAACCAAAAACAGAAGTCATTCTATGATTATGTTCACATATTGTGCGGAGTATGAAGATCAATTCCATTGCTACAGGGAAAACATATTTCATGATGGCTTTCAGTCAGAGGGCAAATTGAATATGGATCAGTCAAGATTCAAATCCAACATCACTTCAGTCAATAGCGTTCAGAATGAGCATTGATCGATTTGAAACATATATGCTTGAGCTCTCTAATCCTCATTTACAAACTCTGTATTTATTACATTTGCAGGTTCTTTACCCAGTCAAGTATGAATAAAAGTAAAGTTCAAACTTATTATGAGTGTGACCTCAGTGCGAAAGAGGCCTAAGGATACAGTCTCAGTTATTACATCTTTTAGAGTCGGTCATCACACAGACCTAATGAAAAGGTCAAAGTGCTAATGCAAAAGTCGAAGGCTAACGTCAGAGACGGGCTATAATTCCTGAAGCATCTTCAACATGCTTTGTTTAATGATAATGTCTACAGCACGAAAAAAGTCTGGCAGATCATAAGATATTTGCCATGTGGCGGCACAGTTTAATCAACGGAGACAAGGTCACTAGTTCTATCCTTCTGCTTTCCATAAAACTCACTCAGACATTTTGAGCCTCATTGACGCTCTGTAACAACCTGCCAGAATATTCGTGTATGCGCTTTATGGATCTTTTTCCCCAGGAGAATAGAAAGAACACATTCTTATGGTCAATCATAAGTGTGACCTTTCAAAGCTCTCTTAATAAAAAGAGCTATGCCTTAGCCGTTAGCCTTGGCGTACCACCTGAAAACTTTAAATTAAATACAGCAGTGCTAGTGAAGATACTTCAAAACTGCAGATTCCCAAGCTAAAAATCGACTAAAAAATAGTTTAACAAGTCAAGGTTCTTTATTTAAAATAATACACGCTACTATGAAACTTATGTACTATACATCGAAGGTATTAAGATTTTAAGGGGCAATATCTTTTAAAAAGGGACAATATCTTTTGTTTATCTTATGTATATATATATATGCAAGTCTACGAGCTGAGGAAACTCCTCCCCGCGACGGCCTCGGAGGGCAAATTCTTAGGCTATATGACCTTTATGGTACCTGGACTTGCCACTTCACACACATTCCAGGGAGGGCTATGGGAAATAGGAACGGGTAGCCTGTTACTTCACACAGCACAGAGAAGAATGACAATGGCCCGGTTAGACAGGCTTTTTATCCCGCCACCTCCATGATTGAGCCGTACAGGTGTGCTCAATGTCAATGCCAGTGGGCATGTCTTGCCATTTGAAATATATGCAACCATTAAAAATTAACTACTTCTAATGAATCAAGAGCCAAAACGAATATTAAAAATTCTCAACCTGTCACATATATAGCACATATATCAATATTTTTAATCATTTTAATATAACATGTTTCAATCATTTGAAAAGAACTGTCCAAATTGTGTTTGAACTGATTCACTAAAATTAATTAGATTTGCCAAAATCCATTCTAGGAGATTGCATTTTATTATATGAGTTTTAAATCTTTGTGTAGTAGCTACAGTGTGACCAATTTTTTTTTTTTTTCAGGATTCTTCATGTTACTCACCAGAAAAATATTATCACAGCAGCAGTCTCAATACTTTTAGTTACAGAAATTGACAAAAATCCAGTCATGATTGTCTAAATAGAAGCTTCACAGAGATGAATTTCATTATGTGATCACAGCAGGTTAAAGCTCTCAGCCATACACACCAATTACAATGTTAAAGGAACTTTAAAGGAAGTGTGAAGTGATGCATGCAGGCACACTCCGGGTATCCAAACAAGCATCCCACAAACCCACCTCCACACCTCAGCAAGGCCTCTCGTAGCTTTAATAAAACCGCCTAACGGATGTTCTGTGTCAGCGTGTGTTTTCAGACGCGTCTCCCCAGAGGTCTGAGTGCAGCTCCCTCTGGACAGCAGCATCTCTGAGGTAATTGAACATAATGAGGTTCATTACACGAAGAGAGCCAAGCCAACGCAGCAATGAAAAAAAAAAAAAAAAAACTTGCAGTACACGCTTTTTTGATGTCTTCCTGTCGTCTTCCCTAAATGAAGGTCCTTGTACCAACCAATAGCAGTAGTGTGCGGTGGATTATATAAAAAGTTCAAAAGGTCAAGTTAATTTTGATTCAGACTTGAAAAGGGCTGGGTGAAAAAAATATAGATTTTCAGTTTAATCACAATGTTTATATGTACTCGATATCAGTTATTAAACTCCCAAGGTTGACCTTTTAACCGTACAGCTATTTCTAGAACAAATGACTCTAATAGCATTTTTTTCTTTTTAGTAAATCAAAAACATACAACATGAACAGTTAGCAGTGTTCATTCTCTTTTTCACTGACGAAAATGAAACGATAACTAAATAAAAAACAAATACACACACACAAAATGATGCCAAAACATCAGTTTTGGCGAGTATTCACATAAACCTCATTACATCTTAAGTGAACATAAACAGGTGGGAGAATATCGAATTTGGTTTGGCCTCTAATTTTCACGAAAACCCCGTTTTTATCACAGAAAACGATTATATGTAAAAACTCTAGCCAAAAACTGAGATTTCTGAGTTTTCGCGTCAACTGGAAGAACGGCGTTTTAGTTTCTCTCTTGTTGATTCTGAGGATTCTGATTGGCTTGCATGGCTTTATCCTTCTCCCTACACTGCCGCCCATAGGTTTGGCATAGATAAGATGGCACTCGACGGCATATTTATGCGGGTGTGTGCACGATGTTATTATTGAAAAAGGAGAGGGGGGAAATATTCGTTTCTCCAAATACCCGGCTTTGTGTAAACGTGGCCCCAGTGTATTGGATCTGTACATTTAGCCTTCTACTGACAGCAGTCTAATAACCTCCTGTTGTCCGTCATTAATGCTAATCACACAAAAGGAAGAGAGAAAATCACTCAATGTTCCTGACTGAATGACTTCAACAGCTTCAATAATCTATATTTAATTTATACAAATAAATATGTCTGAAGAATGATGTAGGCTATGCAAATTGTTATTAAGAATGCATACATCTTTAATCAAATCTGTGTCTGTTTTGCATGTTGTTCAAATCATTCATATTAGCAGGTGAATAATATGTTTTCTCCAGGAGTTTATGATAAGTTTGCATTACAACTGAACTAAACCCATTTGATATAGTTTTAATCAAGTAAATATCCAAAGATTTTAGTAAATTAAATGCACATTAGATTTAAAATACTAAAACAATTCAGATGACTAAAATATATGACAAATTAAATGGATTAACACAAATTAACTGTATATTGAAGATTTCATTTTAAACAGATCATTCCTTGAGATCCAAACTGAACAGCTAACATGGAAAGTAGAAGTAAACTTCACCATCAAACTGAAGGTCAAGTGATCACGTGTTAAACTGCATTTTAATGCTGCAGCCAAGCTCAGCAAATCAATACACGAAAACAAGCTTGAATGTATGATGATGCTTATTTATCAAAATAAAGGGATGCGTTGGCACACCCAGAATGACAGGATTCGAACGGATGTGTTTATGCTCACAAGTGATGCCATATTGGCACACCAACTGAGGTGAACGGATAGACGGGCATCTGCGATCTCTCAAGAGAGACATCTGTTTCATTTATTGACATTGTTGATCTTGTAATATTCATGAAGCAGTTCTGATCTTTCAAAAAGCCTCTTATACACACATGATCAAACCAACACACAAAAGGTTTGACCAAAGATCTCAAAAAAAAAAAAAGAGAAAATACACAGATGCCCTGTGTAAGGCATTGATGCCTTGATTAAGACACAGATCTTCCCAAGCCGGCAGGGAAACGGTGTCAGCTTGCTCTCCGGTGGATTTCACACTTTGATGAAGTTCCCTGTCGAGTCTCTAAAGTGCTAATTTTGTTGCACCAAAGCCATTAATTAATGACGCGTCTCCTCAAATTGCTGGGGAAGGTCATTAGAGCCGGAGTAAAATAAGACAAGTTGAAGAATGCCTCTAATAATTGATAATAAACTCTCGTAGCATAACGAAGACGCCAAACAAGCCAGTTTTTCATCTACAAAACCTCTCATCAAAGACTGCACAGTTCAAACAGACAGAGTTACGGAAGAGAAAGCCGACTGAAGCGAAGAAAAGGTCCTTCGGAACTCACTAGATGGAAAGCTAAGAACACACTTTACAAACAAAAAACAGTCACACTGCCAGATGCTTGATTTTCATTTCATTGGTGCTATAGTAACTTAAAAACGACTGTTTATTGACGTGAAAGTGTCGGACATTTTCATCTTGGAAAGATTTCAACAAGGCGCTGATAACCATATTATATTCCAGCTCGGAAGCACATGGCAGAAATGTGGAGGAATTTTAGTCTGGGTGCGATAATGACAGAGGAAATGATCAGAGTCTATGTGAAGTCTGACAAGCCGTTATCATAAAGTTACACCCATTCTTTCCCCTCATTAACAAATGATGTTCGTTAGAAAAATAGTGCCATCCATTCAGCGGTGATTGAACAACCATCTAATTATCATGTTTAATTATACTATAAATCAGAGCATGATTGATAAATAAGTACCACCCTCAGAATTGCTAATGAGCTCTTTCATTACATCTCACTGTATCAAACCTCTTTCAGAGGAAATCCATTCTGAACTGTGCGAGATTTAACTACAGCGCTGACACGGTCAGAAGGATATGGGAAGTCAAATAGAGGAGGAAGCCTCTAAACGTTTTATCTCATATTTTCTGGGCTGTCTAACTGATACAAAAGCTCAGGCCTTCAACTCTGACAGCAAGAATCTACCTGTAGTTTACAACTGCCAGATACTT